TGGCGGCTGCGCCGCCTCCTCCTGCGTCATCCGCCACCATCGCCCTCGCCATCGCTGCTCATGCTGCTGGAGGCACTATGGCCCCGGGACGAAGACTGCACCTCAGCCTCGCTTTCCTTCCCCTTTGAGGACTTTTTACTTCCTGTCTCCTTTTCCTCTGGCTTAGACCTCTTGTACTCCACTTCCAGAGGTGGAACCAGAGACCCAGGGCACTGCCTGGTGGAGCGGGATGCAGGGCGGCTTGACTGACTGGATGTTGAAGGTTTGCTGCCGCTGCTTTTATTATTAGAGAGAGACACAGTGTTACTCTGAGGAGAGGCTGGTACACTTTTGCTTTTAGACTTTTGGTTCTTGTCAGAAGATGGGGCAGGGGAAGTCCCAGTGGTCTTAGACCCCATGTCCTTCCGAGTGGTGTGGCCGGGCGTGTCCACTCGGCCTTTCATTGCTAGAAGTTTGGCTGCTGCATTGAGAGCCGAACACCTCTTCCCCAGAACTTCAGGCTCAGGAAGCAACGAGGGCGTGCTGTTCATTTGAGTTCTACTGTCCTGTGAAGGCTGAGATGCTGCAGACCTTCTGGTGATCCTAACAGAAGAGGTATCGCTGCCAGACTCTCCGCCAGTGGATGTGTTGGCACTGTTTGATGCATTTCTGTCAAAGCTGCCAACAGGTTTCTTTTCTGCCTGGTTGTTTCCCTTTTCCTTCTCCTGATCTTGTAGCCTGCGCTTGGCTGAGCGAGTCAACCGGTGCTCCTTCCTCCCCTCGCTGTTGTCAGAGTCGGAGGAGGAAGAGGAAGACCTGGAACGCCTCCCCCGAGAGGCAGCAGTGGTGAGCTCCTTCTCGCTGCCTTCCTCATTCTTCTCCACGCCCTTTTCCTTGGTTCCTTCCTCCTCTCCTTCTGAGGCAACATCCATTCGTCTCCTCTTGGCAGGATGTCTGTTTTCATACGTCTTCTTATGGTGAGCATGACGAGTGAGGGTTGACGTTGAGCACTCTGATGATGGTGAAGAGGAGCAGGCCGATTCCTGGCTACTCTGACGACTAAGGGACCTTTTCTGTTTTGGAGGTTTCTGCTCTTCAGTGGTTTCCTCCACCGATTCTTCTTTCTGAGGGCCTGCTGTAGTTTTGGCTTCTCCTATTTCCTCCCTTCCTGTCTCCACCTTTCTCCTTTTAGGCTGAGGCTTACAGACCTCCTGCTTTTTGTCATCCTCCTCCTTCCTAGTCCTCACTTCAGCCTCCACAGCATCCACTTCCATTTCGGTCACCCTGTCAGAGTCACTTTTAGCTGCAGATACACACTGTTTGGACTCTAAAGATTGTTTGTCAGATGAAACACTGGAAGGAGCAGATGCTGGTACCTGGGGCAGGGGCTCTTGCAGGGCAGGTGTGGACAACTCTGGGGAAACAACTGTGGATGAAGAGTTTTGTACGCAAGGGGAAGTGACTGTAGATGTCTGAGGGGTGATCACAGCAGTAACTGTTTTGGTTGTACCAGCTGAAATCACTCCTGTGTCAGCAGGAGTGGCCACGGTAGTGGATACTTGAGTAGTTGCAACAGTGTTTGTGGTAGCAGCTGTTATGGACGTTTCTGGCATTGATGAAGTTGCAGTGACTGTTGTTAATGGAGCTGGTGTGGCATCTGTGGAAGATGTTACTGGGGGTGGAATCTTGGTGTTTTCTTTAGTTATGGCAGTGGTTGTAGAAGAGGGTTCTCTGGAGAACTCAGGAGAAGCTGCTGCAGGTGTTGCTACTTCGACTTCTTCTGATGGGGATGATGACGCTATTCCAGCTGTCTTTGCCTCTGCAGTGGTAGTGACACTGGGAGACTCTGTTGCTGGAGGAGTACAGAGCAGAGTAGGTGCAGCAGGAGATGTTTCTGAGGCCATGTCAGGCACTGTAGTTACCTGTGCATGTACATCCACTTGAACTGGTGGTGACGTTGGGACTGGTTTGACAGGGACCGTGGAAGTTGTCACATTAGCCTCTGCTCGAACTGGAGAAGCTGTATTTACAGCAGATGTGGTGAATATTGGTGGTGGTGATGTTGCAGGAGAGGCAGACATAGATGCGGTTTTGGTGGGGATGGTGCTGGAACATGCTTCTACAGTTTTTACTGAAGTTGTGGTTCCACTTGTTGAGTTCAATGGGCTTGCTTGCACTGTTTTTATTGTAGTTGTTGTCACTGTTGGTGCTGTAGACAGGGAAGATGTTGAGGATGGTGAAGCAGTAACTGGGCTTGATAAGCTGGCAGCTGGAGCAGAGGCTCCAGGAGCTGTAGGTGGTATAGCAGAGGCTTGTAGCAAGTCTTTTGCAGCAGTAGTTGTTGTGACGGGTTTCACTGTAGTGGCAACTGCACTTACTGGTTTTGATATTACAGTAGTATCAGTTGTCGCAGGGACTGATGTTGGAACTGCTTTAACAGGCATAATGGGGGGTGTAGTGAGTGTGGTAGCAACTGGTGCAGCAGCTGTGGTGGTTCTGGCAGAGCTGGGTTCTGTTGTTTTCACAGTTGTAGAAGTTGGAGGTTTTGGATCTACAGGAGATGTAGAAGCTAAAAGTGTTGGTCTTACAGTTGGAAGAGTTGATGAAACGGCACTGGGAGGGGGCAGTGCAGTTGTGGTGGTGGGGGTCTCAGTGACTGGGATACTGGCAGATGTGGAAAGCATGAGAGCGGAAACCTGGGTTGATGCTGAGCTTAAAACTGGAGCTGGAGGTGAACTAACAGTTTGGACTGAGGTTGCTACAGTAAGGGGTGCAGTCCCCTCAGGTGCAGGTGCAGTGGGTACTTGGACTGAAGCTGAGACTGGTGTGGAGGATTGATCTGAAACCTCAGTCTTAGTGTCCTCATTTCTGGTAGACTGGAAGGCCTGACTGGTGCTGGTCTGTGTTGGCTCTGTGTTAGCATCTGTCACTGCTAAACCAGACACATCAGTAGTGGTGGTGGTCTCTTTTTTGGAGTTCTGTCCTTCACTGACAGTGTCTGGGATGGTTGTGGAGTCTTTGCGGGGACGACCCCTCTTCCGTTTTGGGGAAAGAGGGGGGTTCCCTTCACATGGTGAGTTGGGCTGTGGGGAAGGTGTCACTCTGTTATCAAGCTCAGGTAATCTAGGGACAGTCTTAGGGGGCCGGCCCCTCTTTCTTTTCAAAGGTGTCACAAGAGAATTGACACTGGACTCTGTAGAGGCTGAAGTGGCATCTTTTCCTGGCGGTGTGTCTGTTTTCTTGGACTGATTCCCGCCTCGTCCTCTACCCAGATGTAGTTGTTGCTCTCCCAGCTGAGCAGCCATCCGAGATTCTGTTTCTAACCTGCGCCGAACAGGAAGATTTCTCAGCACAGGCATGTCAGGAAAAAGATGGGGTGGGGAATATGGAGGATAACCTCTGACAGGCTGTGGGTGCACAGAGGGACTGGGAGTAGTGTCTTGGTCCTGAGGCAATTTGGTAATGGCCCCTTTAGTTTTACTATCAGGGCTCAGTGATGTATTGTCTTTGTTTGGTTCGTCGACGAAACCTGAAGCGGTCTCCTCCGCTGTTGCCTCTTCTGATGATCCTCCACCCCCAGTGCTGCTTATTCTCCGCCTCCTCCTTCTTGGCTCCTTCTCCTCAACCACTGTGACCAGCCTTCCTGGGAGCTTCCGCAAGACTTTGGCTGATGGTGAGTCTTCCACCAGGCCCCGCAGGACTTCACCATCTGCTGACTGACGCTTGCGAGGCGACCGGGAGCTGGTGGAGGGGAGAGACATGGCACCATGGTCTTTGAGGTCATCATCTTTTGTCTGAAGGTCCACTGGGCAGCTGGACTCAGACAACCGCCTTTCATTTACCCCCTCCTTCCTCTCTGTCCCTGATTTGGAGCTCTGTTCCGTCTCCACAGCACACTGCTGTTTCCCTCCAGGGGGAGATGCTGTAGGAGAGGAAGGCACTGGACTGGGATTCGACTGGTTTGGCAGAGTCCTGGTTTTGATGGTCTGGTGATCTCTGGAAGGTGATAAAGCTTTTGAACATTTGGCAGAGTCCTGGAGCCTTGTTGATGTGGAGGATTTCTGATGGTCTGTGCGGAAAGGGGTTCCAGTGTCTTTCGCAGCTCCTCGTCCTCTCAGACCAAAACGGAGTCTTTCAGGTACTTCTCTAGGGGCTGCAGGCTCGGGCTCAGTTTCCGGTGAGGCCCCACGAAGCCGACCACTGGTCCTTGTAGAGGTAACAATCTTATCCTTGTCCTTGGGTTTACGGCCACGTCGGGCTGGGGGTGGTTGAGGAAGCTCCACAGAAGCTAGTGGCGACAAAAAGTCGTCGTCACTGTCATCAGATGAAGCATGAAGCTTGAGGCCCTCCTCCTTGGCCTGGTCCAGGCCCTTCCTGGTAGCCTCCACCTGCTCCTATAAACACACACCAAGAACAGATGTTTAGAATATAAAAGTTTGGTTTTATAAAGCTGATAAAATATCTTTATGTTCATGTTTTGGTTCCACAGGGATACAGGAGTGGACCAACAACTTCAAATAACACAAACAATGCTTCTCTGTATTATATAAATGGAAATGGAATACCAACGGGTTTTGGACTGTTGACCAGACAATATGAAACAAAGGGAAGACTTGAGCTCTGGGAAATTGTGAGGAACATTTTGCGCTGTTTTCAGACATTTAATAGACGGAACAATTTATTATTTAAAAAAAATAATCAGTGAAGTCATAATTTATGCAGCTTCTAGTGACAGTCCAAAACCTCTGCTGCAAGGAAACAGTGGTGAGAGTGTGTTAAACTGAACCAAAGGTGAAGTTGAGGCCTTACCTCAGCTTGTTTCAACTCTTCTTTGCACACATCTTCTAATGAGGCTTCCAGGAAGTTCATAGCGTAGCGTTCAATGGGAGTGAGCTACAGGTAGGCAGAGCACGTGGTGTGTTAATTGAGCATAAACAAACTGTAAAAATAGAACTGAGCTGTAGAGCAGAAAGGTGTAAAATCGCCCCGTCCTCCCTTACTGACATTGTTCTATTCACAACATCAATCAGTAACCAATAACAGAACTCTATTAATTCACCTGCTCCACCAGAGCTGCTATTTCCTGCTCAGCCTTGGAGAGCTCCTCTACTTCCTCCTGTTCCCCTCCGTCGTCCAGTGGTATGTTCTCATTGAATTCCGCCAGTTCTGCCACCTGCTCTGCTTTGGCCTGAGAGGCTGCTACGATGTCCTCCTCATCCTCGGCACGACACAGGGCCTGCAAGAATTACATCAAGGTGATCTCGTTATCCTTACACCATCACAGAAAAGTCATGGTGGTTTGATATGTTTAACCTGAACCTTAAGTTAAAACAGTCATGAACTTGTTTTCACTTGTCATGAATTTATTTACTCCACAGCAGCAGAACACCAGCCTTCAGAAACTCCTGCAGCTTTAACTGGACTAACCAAACATGTTTAGTGCTGAGTAACTCTGAAAGACTTGCTGTGAACAGACCGACATCACTCACTAGGCTAGTACCATTAATGTGACAAACAACCCCATAATGCAACACTCTGTAGAGACCCTGTTACTCCATTAAAAAAAAATCTCATGTGGTGACCATGTAATTGTACTGTCATTTAATATGTAACAGCCCCGTTTTTCTGGACCCAGGGTTTTCCCTGCCACAGAAAGGCTTTGAAAGGCTTGTTTTTGCAGAGCGCTTAAGCCGAATTAATGTAAAAACAACAGAGAGTTGTACGTGCTGAAAAATAATGGAGAGTAACTTGATCTCAAAATGAAAGATAAGCTGGCAACAATGACCTACCAATCAACAATCGGTGTTTAGACGAATGTCTGTGATTGGCAGCAACACCAAGCTAATCAAGGATGGTGGTTACAGCCACTGATGTAGATTTTATTTCTCCTAACTGCACTAGCTATGAAATTGACTTTTAGATAAAACCTATTCATGGCATTATTTTCGAAAGCTTCATCACTTTATTTTTAGTGCCAACAGCTTCTGCACAGTGTCATATGTGAACTATCAAATTATGCAACGACCAGGAGATTCTTCAGCTTTGTCCTGTGGCTTTAACAGTTTGTCTAAAATACGCTGCAAAAAGTGTGATTGATTTTAAACAATTACCAAAAGGTAGGTGCTAAATCTATAATGTAAGTGTGTGGCCTGTGGGATGTATCTAACCTGCTCCAGAATGATGGTGCTCTGTTTGTTGACAGCTTCCTCCTCCTCAGCTTGGGGCACTGTTAGCTCCACTGCCACTTCTCTCTTCTCGCCGTCATTCATGTCAAACAGCTCTCGGATGGTTTGCTGAGGAGCGACGTAAAAATGAAATTAAGAGGCACTTGAACTACTTAATGTCCTGACGTTATCACAGCAGCAAAAAATTCTTTCTGCTATTAATGACTGTATTCAATTAGACATTTTAGTAAAAATACACACCTACAATTAAATTGCCAGTTATGAAGTGCAGCCATTAAAAACTCCTAACAGACTTAACTAGAAAAATCATGGAAGACTAGAGAGAAACAAACACACTTCCTCAAACTTGTATATCATATGCCACTGGTAGCAGAAATAGTGAGTTGTGGTAAAATGTGTTACACCGTGTTCCATATGAAACTGCTGTTTGTGCAAGACTCATAAAAGGCTCATTAAAAAGGCTAATTTTTAACCCTTGGTTGCTGCAAGGGTTGTATTTACTTTTCCTGGCAACTCTGCAGACTAATTGTTCACTATAGGGTCACTGTAAATTCCTACCTGTTTGAAGAAGGCAGTGGTGAAGTTTCCTCCTTCAATAGCCATATCTCCCAGCATCCTCTTCTGATTGGCTTTCTTTAAGATGTTTTCCTCCACTGTACGCTCACTGATTAGCCTGAAGAAGAACATTGCACAAAACACTGATGAGCTGTTGAAATCACATTATTTATGGGGTAGTGTAGCTGAAATGGTACAGACTGTCAGCTTAATTATATACTGTCTTACAAGCCATTTCCTACTTCCTTCACTCTGCAACGAGCAACAAAAATAAACCGATTAATTAATGAGCCGATTAAGACAATTGAGAGAAAATTAATCAGCCACTATGTTAATAATCAATTAATCATTTCAGTTGTCACTTTCAAGGAAAAAGCAAATGTAATAAATGTTTTCTCCCAATCAGTCTCTTATGCATAGAATCACATGAATAAACAAATTTTAAAGGGAAAAAAAGATTAACCTTCTTAAATAAGATCAGTCTATAAAAATATTTACCTTTCTGGGTGACTGGGGTAAAATAGATTTATTTTTTATTTTTTTAAATCCCTGACACTCAAAAGAGTTTTATGTCCAAATGAAGCCAAAGGGAACATTAACATAGACACCTATGACTAAAAGCCATCAGTTTAACAGACACATAAAGCCAGTAATGTCACATTGTCCATGTCTGAAAAGGGCTTCATGTAGTTAACACCGGGCCCTGTTCTGTTTAGGCGTACCAGCTCTACTGTACATACTAGTCCAAATGACTTCAGAGACCAGCGGCAGCACTGTCACCTGTATATGTGCACATCTCGGGTCTGGCCAATACGATGGCAGCGGTCCTGTGCCTGTGCATCCATGGTGGGGTTCCAGTCGCTGTCGTAGAAAACGACAGTGTCGGCCCCAGTCAGGTTCACCCCTACACCTCCACTGCGAGTTGACAAAATGAAGCAGAAGATACGACGATCTGCATTGAAGCGCTCCATGAGTGCCTGAGGAAGAAGTAAAGAAGATGCACAGAGAACAGGGTCACACATAGTGGAGCAGCTAATCCTTCCCTTCATTTTTTTCTATGATATTTTGTTAAATACTTTTATTTCCTTTGTTTTATGCAAGTCATGTACTCCCGTTTTCATGCAAGATAATCCGCACTAACCTGTCTCTGCTCTACACGGGTACTGCCATCCAGGCGGAGGTAGATGTGTCCGTGGTAGTTGAGGAACTGCTCCAGCACATCCAACATACGTGTCATCTGGGTGAAGATCAACACCCTGTGGCCTCCCGTCTTCAGCTTTCGTAGCAAAGTGTGAAGAGTCTGAAGCTTACCTGCACACAGGGGACACACAGTAGGTAACCAGCAGAACACATAACCATAGCAAAATAACTGAGCAGCGGGCACTTAGAGAGAATGAGCTTTAACTGATAAATAAGTGTGGTGTTTGGATTTTTAGGTGACATTGCACATTATTTTGTACAAATAGTGGGCTAAAGGTGAAAGCAGTCTGCCCTGAATCTGTCTTTTTGGCTGTCTGAAGCATCAGCCAACAGTCACCAGAACTTTACAGCAGGAGAGGTTTGATTTAGAGAAGCAATATGTAGACAGCTTACCACAATCATACTGTATGAGCCTCAGGTCCGGGAACTGGGTCCTCATGTTACACTGGATGTGGTGGAGACTGCGAGCGAGTGGAGCGACTTGAGATGACAGCGTGGAGGAGAAGACAGCCTGCTTGTGGCTCAGAGATGGAGGAGGATGGCAGCAGTGCATGGAGATTGGAGCAGCCTCCACTTGGGGAACTGCAAATGTAAACCTAAAACACACAAACAATACCAGTTAAATCACAAATATTTCAGTATAGTTAAAGCTCTTATATCCTCAGTTATGCATCTTGTCAAAAAAATCAGTCTGCTGACCAGTTATGTACCTGTCTATAATGTCGCTGAGCAGCTCCAGCCTCCCCTCAGTGCTGTGGATGGCCTTTCTCACAGCGTGACTCTGAAACCAGCAGTTGTGTTTGTTTTGCCACTGTGCAAACAGGCAGCTGCTGTGACCTGAGCGGCCCCACTCCCGCTGAGAGCTCAGAGCAGCTGGCAATGGATGAGGACCAGTGAGAAAAGTCAGGAAGTTCAAAACCTCCTGGCCGTACATGGGCTTCGCTCCACAGTGGTGCTCGTTGACTCGAATGATAAAGTCCAGCCGGCTGTCACGCTGCTGTTTGAGGCCATCTCCCAGCCACGACTGTTGAGTAACAGGAAATAAACATGTGGGTGTTATGCTGAATTGATCAAGACAGCAGGTAAACACTGAGGAAGCTCGGTGTTTGCTACTTGGAAGGAAAATCTTCCTTAATGTAGTTTGTAACCAGTGCTGTTCAAATGTGTGATGAGCTAAATTAACCCTAAATATGAACAAATGTAATCAATCAAGGGCGTTTTTGCTGAGGTCTGTTGATGCTGATGGAAAGACAACTTGCTTACCATGTAGAAAGGAGAACGAGGAGGTGGGCGAGGCACTTTTCGGGGTGCAGGGTAGGCTCTTGCACTTGCACTGGGTCTCGATTTTGTGCTGACTGGAGTTTGACTGCTGCTGCTGCTGCTATTATCATGTGCTGTTGTTGAACACCTGGATGCAGACGACGAGGAGCTCACCTGAGCTGGAGCTGAAGAGGGGATAGAGGAGAAAGAGCAGAGCAAGGCAGACATGCCTGTTGTAAAGAACTTGATTCTACAGTACAAACAGCCATGGGTTTGCTTTAAGAGTCAACTTCACTCAGTTTAATAAATGTAAATTATTTATTAAAAATTTTTGACTTCTATTATGTGACCCTGACTAGTCCACTTACTGCTGGCAGATGACTTGCGGATACTGGATTAAATTAATAATGAAATGACTGCAGTACTTATCATATACTAACTTCTTTACCTTAATACACTAAACTGGCTTTGAGAGACCTTCCTGTGACTGCTGAAACGTCCCTGCATGGATGCTTCCTCTTACATGAAACACTGCACACACCTGGTGCTCTAAGCAGCTTAAAAAATTTGGAGAGGGGTAGTAGGAAAGAAAAATACTAAATAGTTGCAGTAATGATCTGAGCCAGTTCTGCTTCTCATGCATGCACACAGCTTTATGAATTATGGCTCGAGTTCATTCTCTCACCTGGCTGCTCTGTGTTTGATGGTGGAGGCTGCACTACTTTGAGGACAGGGCGAGGGGTTTGGGTCTGGTTCAGGGTTGAGGTAGGGTGTCTGGGAGGAGCCATGGTGTAGTGGGCAGTAGCAGGACCAGGGGTGCGCTGGGCCGTCTGCAGTGGAGCCTGCAGTGGAGCCTGCAGTGGAGCCGTGTTTCTGACAGGGGTTGTGTTGGCAGGGGCGTGCAGGGAAGAGAGTGCCTGAGAAGCAAGACGAGGGGAAGGGGCCACTGCAAGGGTGGGCACAGGCCCACCCTCCTTGCCTGTTGACTGACGCACAACGATCTTCACAACGCCTGGGCTGCTCACCATGGAGGAGGGCACTGAGGAGAAATAAAAACATACGAGCTGTGAGAAACAAGCCTGCATGGAGAGGTCTGAATGGGCACAGTACTGAATTTCAAAAGATTAAGACTGAAGCTGATGTCGTAAGGGTGGTTGTCATGGTCTGTCAAAAAAGATCCCCAACAGGAAATCATGTGCAAACAAAAAATATTGCTGGGCACAAAATTAAATGGTTAATTTTATGCTAAATTCTGATCTTTTTCTTAGATCTGATTTGTTTGTGTTGCTGCATCACATCTAGGGGTGGCTATGGTGCAGGAGGTAGAGCCCAGCCCACACGTCGGTGTCCTTAGGCAAGACAAGCTGCTCCCGATGGCCAGGTCAGCACCACCATCGGTGTGTTTATGTGAGTTTGTGCCACAGATGGCTGCCTCGGTGTGGAACATAAAAGTGATTAAAAATTAAAATCTGTGTGTGTAATCTGTAAGTGACATGCACCTGGCTGTGGTGTGAACACCACTGACCTCCTCAACTGCCACACATGCACAGATTTAACTGAAATGTGAACCACGTGTGTACGAGAATAACAACAGTCAAAATCTACAGTTCCTCCTCAAGTGTTCAATTACACTTTGATCCTTCCAGCTTGGCCTGATCAGAACCATAAATGGCCAAAAAAGCGAAACATCCGGGTCTCTCCACTGACCCCCGTCACTTTTGTTGCTCTCCTCCATGTGAGGGGCAGACACTGAATGATGATGACAGGCCATATGTGCAGCGGAGGGAGACGTTAAAACAACCACATGGATTCTGATCTGACCATTCTGACAGCGCTCGTACAGTCAGAGATCAGATAGGAATCGGATCTAGGAGCAAAAAATCCAATTTGGTTTGTTCAAACATCTGTGAAAAGATCAGATTTGAGTCACTTCTACTGTGATGTGAACATAAATTAAGGGAGAGAAGAGTTTAAAACCTTGTGAGGAGGCATTATGAGACAGCCGATTCACAGGGGGAGCAGCAGCAGAGGTGTTTGCCGGGTGTGTGTTGGATGTGCTCTGGACAGCCATCTGGGCAGGCTGGCTGATGAGGTGGTGCTGTACCCCGCTGGACACCAGGTGCATCACATTACCTGTGCAGCGACAGTGAGTCAGACAGTACTTCAGATTCTCCAGTTATTACTTTGTCACAAAACATATCTAATCATTTACACTGACTGAAAAATCAGGTTTAAATAAATATATAAATGTGCTGCACAATTATGGCAAAAGAAAGCAGAAATCATCATCAGTAGTTTACTTAATATTATTAACATGAGTTTCAGGAGTAGAACTCTAAAACAATCTCTTTTTGTTTTCCTTGAAACTGCAATGTCTTGTTTTGTTCCAGGCAAGACTAACATTTCATACTGGTGGCACCAGTGTCAGATTTTAAACAACCTTGCCATCCAGTGTGCAGGGTTAAAAATAACTGAACAGTTTAACTGTATAAAAATTATTGATGAATGATTGCAGTGACTCTCTACCGAAGAGTTCCTACTGGAGCTGTCAGGTTCTACATCTTTTCATTTGGTCATACTGTGCACATGTGGGTCACTCATACTGTCAAAGATGCATTTCAAAGAAAACATCACAACCTTAAGTGGAATTAAAGGGTTAAATAAGTTTTAATATATTTACACAATCAAGTAAACTGAACCACTGAATCCTTTGGGTGCATGAGAGATGAATGTGACATAACAGAAAAATCGTCTGACACAAACCTTGAACTGGGCGTGGAGGAGCTGCTGGGACCTGGTGGATCTGGGCTCCAGAGAGAGTCAGCTTGTTGCCCTGAAGCTGGAAGGTGACGGGTTTACTACCCTGACATGATGACACAGGCCGCCCTGCCAAGGAGGCGAGCTGGGCTATGCTCACTACCTCACCAGCTTTTAAAGACAAAAAGAAAGAATAAGAAACATTATTATGTCAGTTTACTACAGCTTCCACTACTCTTTGTTCATGACAACCTTTACAACAGTATCACAGTGTATAATAGTTAAAAAATGATTTGTGCTTCTCTGGCTGCTGAATTTACTTAAAGTACATTTTTTAAAAAGCATATCAAAGGACTCAAATTATCATCTAGGGTGGTGATAATACTTCACCAGGCTCTATATAGAGGCAGCATCTCTTCAGATAAATGAATAACAGATGTAAAACACTGAAGACGATGACGGTGTATGCTTACAAGGCAATCTAGCCTGCATATCTGGACTGAGCAGAACCCTCTGGGGCATGACACTGCTGGGGTTTGG